TGGCCCATGTGGATCTGTCGGACCTCGAGGCCTTCCTTGGAGGACTGCAAGCCTCGGATGCGCAGCGGCACCAGGAGATAGAGTCGAAATTGAAGACTCTCATCTCTACTGCGCGGAACCAGGAGCAGCAGCAACACCAGCAGCAACGCCGCACCAACGCTGGCCGCGCGCGCTCTCGCCGTACCGCGTACTACAGCGGCGGCGCTGCCCCCGACACGGTACCCTCCTCCGCCGTTCGCCCACCAAAAAACGAGGGAGCCCTGCCGCCCCGGTAAAGGGCCGGCGGGGCCACCAGAGGCTCATCCAGCTGCGCCGTTCGGTGAGGTCGTGTGGGGAGGTGACCTCCGCCAAGGGCGCACGTCCAGTGTTGAGCTGGATGACCTGTATCGCCGCTACCTCCCTTCGGGGCAGACGTTCCCGTGTCGCACTTTACCCGACCTTGCGCCACGTGGTGTCCTTGACCCCCTCTCCAACCCCGCTGTCTCTGCCCTCAAGCGGAAGATCGAAGCCCGCCTGATGGCGCACGGCACATTGTATGTCCCCCTCTTTAGCCACCACCACTGGATCGCAGGCATCCTCTCCAGTGCGTCTTGTGATGGAACAGGCGAGGGACTGCTTCTCCGGATCTTCGACTCTGCGCCGTCTTGGGCGGTTCACAGAGATTTGTGGAAGCGGGTCCGTCGCATCTGGCCTGCGATAGAGCTGGAATTTTGCCCTTGCCAGCGTCAGGCACGCGACAGCGACGACTGTGGCATTTTCATGACAGCGAACTTCTTTGCGCATCATTTAGGCATCACCATCGTCCCCGCGGCTGACCTCCCGGCACGCCTGCGGACTTTTCTCTTCGCCGCAGCCCAGAACCACCCGAAAAGAGACGTTTTTCTGCGCAACATCAGCGCGGCTCTCCTCGGGAAGCCTTCCTCCCTCATTCCTGCGCCGCACCAGGCGCCTGCAACCCCACCACCTCCAACGGCCCTGAACAAACTGCAGCCGGCCGCCACGACGGACTCACCGCTTACGGGTGGTGCCGCGGTTGCTTGGGAGGCGACCTACGAGTCGAGCGAGCCCCACGCGCGGGTAAACGGTATGGGCTACATGTTGTCCGCATCTGTATTGGCTTCGGTGGCTGACGGTCAGTATCGCGCGCTTACGATTCCCGCCATCCGTCAGCGCGTCACTCGCGCCGGTTTCCCGCCGGGAGTGCCGCAAAGCGTTCCGTCCGCCCTCGCGAAGCTTGGGCACACTCCTCTTCACTATGGGGTACAGCAGCCAATGGGGTCACCGCGTATTCTTGAGGACGTGGATATCCGCTCCAGACGATATTTTTTCTTGATCCGAGCAATGGAGGATGTCCCGCTTCCGGCCAGCATCGATGAGCACGTCTTCGCGCTCGAGGCTTAGCACCATGCGGATGTCCGCTCACGTACCGAGCAGCCTGGCCACGATATGGTGACGCGTGAGGTCTCCGCGGCATCTGTCGGCTTGTACGTGCTCCGCGCGCCGGTATACACTGGTTTGCCATCTCCTGTGCCGCGACGACGCGTTGATCAGAGGGCCGTTGCTCAGGGTTCCCCGGTGGACGACCCGCATGGGGAAATGGACCGTGCGCTGAACACAGGGCTTTCAGGTCCTTTAAACTGGAACGGCAGGCATCCGGAGGGGTGTGCCTGTCCGCGGGATTGGTTCATCCATCCCGGAAAGCCCCCTCATGTGTCTCAGGTGGCGTGGGCGGCTATGAACCCGCAGGTGCGCATCCAACACCGCACGTGGCTGGAGAACCTGCGCGCGATGCCCCAGGATCTCTTGTCGCTCCCGCTGCACACGGCGGCGGTCGAGCTGGTGCGAAGGATGGGCTGCGCACGCCATTGGAAGTGGTCGACGATGGCGCGACACTACGCGTCCATTCAGGCCGCTCTACTCCAGCTGCCCCTCTACACAAACCAGACGCGGCCGGTGGACTTGGCCCGGGAACCGGAGTGGCGCCAAGCTATATCGGGAGCCCGACGTTTCGAGCGCGAGTCGGAGCCACAGCCGCCGGTGCCGTTGTCGGTGGAGGAGTACAAGCGGGTCTTGACTGCAGTCCGCGTCGACCCCGAGTCTCACGCTTTTCTTGTGCTGATGTGGGCCTGCGCTGCGCGGCCTGGCGATGTGACGAACCTGCTCGTCAAGGACATTCATTTTGCAGAAGAGGTAGCACCCCGTTCGGTCCGCATGCAGGTGACGGTGCGTCGGGGAAAAGGTGCCCGGTTCCGCGGGCCGTACACGATCCCGACAGTTTTGAGCCGCGAGGATGCCAGCGTGGTGCAACGCATCATGGCGAACCGTCCACTCGGGGGCAGAATATTCCCCGACGATATCCCGCTGCGCACCCGAGTGCGAGAGGCCATCCGTGCGGTGAACTCGTCGGCGGCGCTTCCGTCGCTTCGCAAGGGGGCCACCAGGAACCTAGCGGCGCAAGGGGTGCCGGAGGCGATCCTGATGCGGATCACCGGTCACACGCGGTTGGAGACCCCGCAGCGGTACCTCAACGGAGTCATCCGGAAGAGTGAACTCCCCTCCATCACCCGCCTATCGCGCCTGGAGCGCCACCAACGTCTCCGCTTCACCCGCTACATGTTCCAGCTCGACTTCGAGGCGTTCTACGACGCTATCCCTCTGCCAGAGATCAGGGACAAGTTCGTTTTTGTCTTGCTGGAGCTACGGACGGAGGATGAAGGGGCAAGAAAAAAACAGGCTTTCCTGCCTGTCGTGACCATCTCACGATGCTCTTGCGATTTGGGCGGACGAGCCCATTCCGGAAATTTCATTTCTCTTTTCTTTTTATGGCTGGGAAGCCTCGAACCCCCACGAGATCGAAAACAGGACATTTCGAAATCAATAGGCGAGGCTAAATAACCACCTCGCTGTAAAACCAATAGGATGAAAACAGAAAACGAAAACTCATTTGACTTACTCACACTGAGGGTCTATTCGTATCGGATTTGAGAAAGCAAAAGGGGCTTGGAAGAAAAGGTTGTGTGTTTTGGGGTGAAGAGTTTGCCTGGATGGAGGGGCAGCGGCAGGTTCGCAACTCGATCAAGACGGTGACCAAGCTGGATTTAGCGGCGCAGAAAGACCAGTTCACCATTCGATCCTTCGCGTCATTGGTGTCACTTATTAGTTACGCG